TTGAATAAGTTCCGAGCCTTGTGCGTTTGTGGGACCCGTCTCATGAGTGCACGGCGTCTGTCGCGCCTCGGATTTGGGTTCTGGGGCGTGACAGATTTAGTGGTATCAGAGCTTAGGTTTAATTAAGATTTTGTGATGCCAAAGTCTAGGTTTAATTAAATACCTAGGACTTGTTTTGGATTTGGCTAGCCAATGGATCTTAGAACCGTGGTGAGACGAGTGATGGGGTTAGACAAGGGACGATTTTGATTGTAAATGTTGGTGAAATTGATCTAGTTCTGGAACTTTTAGTTTGGATGATAAACTGAGATGATAATGATGAATCTGGAATTTGTGTTTGGGGATTTTAATGCTCTGTTGATAAAAGTTCTTGCAAAATTGATTGACTTAGTTTTATGGTTCCTTGTGTCATTGTATCTTCTAATGATGTGATATTGTGCTTAGGCTCAAATCTGTTTTGCGTTTAGGCTTACCGTTTTGGGTGTGTGATGAAGAGGGACTCTAAGCTTTTCAGCTCCTCCCCTCTTCCTTCCACTTCTGAGATCATTTCCAATTCGTGATACCTTTTGGTTCTCTAAATCTCCAGTTCCCTTCAGTTTTTGGAGTGGTTGACGATTTTAGTGTCTGTGTGAATCTGCTTGTAAGCTTCTGTTTTAGATTTAAAATAAGTTATTTGCATTCGTAATGGTAATTAAATTGGTTCGTTTCTCGTGTTTCAATCGTATGACTTTGGTTCAATATATCTGTTTGATATTTGATGATTTTGCGTGGATAACTTGGTTTGCCTGTGTAATGAACTTGAATGTGAAGCGACAATGATCCATTAAGAAATTTCGTGCTTTTGATTGAAATCCTTATGGGACTTGAGTCTATATATTAGACGTGCCTATGTCATGCCAATGTCTAGGCTGTGGTTGATGTCACTTAGTTTCTGTACATGTCCAAATGCTCTTGCAGGAAAGAAGATAGTTTTCACACATGGGTGAAAATTTTCCTGCTAAATAGCCTACCAGATATCTTTGTCTAAACTTGCTTCTATTCTTGAAAAATTGTCTGAAAATCTGTTATTACTCAAGTTTTGGATTCTGCACTTGTTTTGTTTCTTGAGTATCGATATCTGAATATAAATTATGCCTGGTGGAGTTTTTGAAGTTAACCTGACATATGTTAATGTAGAAAATTGATTGATACTTGGTTTTGGAATCTACTCTGAACTGTCTTTGAAAATATTCTTGCTTGGACACCTGCTCCTGCTCAAGTTCTGAATTTTATGCTAGTTGTTATCTCGGTATACCAATGTACCTGTTAAATTCTTGTTTTAAGTTTCATGTGGACACCTCCTTAGGAGGGGTGATGACTTCTAGGGATATATTTAGAAATATCCCTATTTTGGTTATGGATAGATAGCCTAATGCTGATATTACATCTTAATATCTTTGATTGACGTGATTGTGAAAATATTGTGTCGCCATGGACTATGCTTAAATGGGTTATCATCACAGTATTTAGTGCTCTAGAGTTTAGTTCTAGAGGAATGGTTCTTTCCTCTATCCGTTTAGATTCTTGCCTTGCCATCCAATCACGCGTTATTGATTAACCTTGGGTTGTGGTTTGGAGTGTCTCTGCACTCTAAACTCCGGTAAGAAGTTACATCAGCATGAGGTCCTCTCTTGGACTCAAAATGTGAGGAATTACATTTTGATTTATTGATGCCAGACTTAAGAAAAATAGCAGCCTTATTACCTTTTGAAATTAATCTTTACTCACTATGCTCTTAGGACCTTGTTTGGAACTTGGTCCCTTGTGATAGTATGCTTGGTTTTGGTTGTGGCAGGATGTATAAGGCCTTCCACATTAAGTCTGTTTGTTTGAGTATCCATTTGGGCATTCATATATGAATGCAAACATAGACATACATGAGCATATACACGCATACATGCATGCACACATGAGCATACCTGCATGCACACATGAGCATTCATGCATGCACACATGAGCATTCATGCATGCACACATGCGCATTCATGCATGCATGCGCATAAAGGCATTCATTCATAAATGCATATACATGCATTCATCCATTCATGATCCCATATATCCGAGTGATGCTTATCCGTCTCGGATCAGGTTCCATCTTTAGTTGTACTCATCATTAGATTCCTTGCCATATTGTTGTGTTTGATGAGTACCGGGTATTGATTTGAGTCAAGGGCACCACATAATCACGCCGATAACTCTCGAGTTTAATTACTGGTGTTAAGGCGTGAAGTTATCTCCCGCTTCCCAAATAGCCATTGGGGAGGGTGGAGATTGAGAAATTGTGTTGGCTTGTTAGAGCAATGATGATTACTCACTCCCTGTGAAGTGAATCTGATCATTGTACCCTTGTAATTGTTAGCCATGTATTTGAGATCGATTTCCTTGTTATTGTTGTTGTTGATGCTAATGCTGCTACCTATTTTGGGTTTAAAATTTGGTGTGCAGAATGTGGTCCTTGTTTAGATTGTTTAGTTTGATATAAATTGTCATTCTAGAGTGACATTTGTTTTGTCTTCAGCCTGACTTTTAAAGTATTTAACCAGTTTTGTGACAGCTATCCAGTTGTTTCTTTGTTAGAAATCCTTGTTGGTTTACTTGCATCTAGTTACCTACAAAGGGTCCAGCCATGAAACCTGTAGAGCTATGATGTCCCTCATCTAGAGCTTGCTTTGTTTGTGGATTATTATTGAGAATAAGTGGTTGAAATTGTGCAAAACCTAAACCATACCCTTTAGGGTTGCAGAACATTTGGGTGGTTATATGCCTCCTGTGTTGTGCTACAGTGTCCTTTGCCACAAATGAAAGAGTTGTTAGTTCAAGCGTCTTCTCTAGGACAAAATGGTACCTTAAGGATATGCTTTAGATGGACTTTGTATATATGTCCCCCTAATCTAGGGATTTACCTTTGATTTTGCTATGTGCTGTTTCTTGGCCATTAAGACTGTGAAGGTCTTAAATTTAAGTTGGAATCTCCAACCTCAAAATGGCTTTAGTTTTCTTGATGTTTTATCCTAGAGCTTGGAATACATCTAAGTTACTGGAATGTAATGTTAGTTATAGAGGCCATTATTTGGAACTCGAATTTTATGCAAGAAAAGTTTAGATCCTCCGTAATTCCTTGACTTGATTTCGCTTAATCTTCTAAATTCTTAATTTAAGTTATATCTTTGAAAACATCTGGCTAACCAAATTTATTGCGAAAATGGGAAATTTGTCCACATGGATTTTTCTAAAGCATTTTCCTTGGCTTACGCTAGCACTCTTTAAGAATTTTGAGCTATTCTTTCACAAGCTACCCATTGGATTGGAGGCCATGATTTAGGTCTCAATTCGACCAGTGTGTCAAAATTCGTGCCATGCCATTCTTTGTTAGCTCGTTTTTACTTGGGTTCATAGCATAGTTAAGCTATTGTTTTCTGCAGCCTTGGTAAGAATCTCATCTGGGTTTCTCTGGAATTCAAATTAATTCTGCTCTATTTTGGTTCTGCTCTGTCCTTCCAGCATTCTGTTTGTGTGGGATTTATGGTCTCTGATTTTGTTATGACCTTCTCTGATTTGGAAAAGATCTAGAGTCTGATTTGGGGTTCATGACCGTGAAAAAAGGTTTGTCCCTTGATTAGCAAATAGCAATTTTGTAGTGGTGGCTTCATGATTCCCTCCGTTGCTTTGATTTTTCAGAATTATTGATTTATCGATGCTACACTGCTATGGCCATATGATGGTTGTCATATGATGGGCACTAGTTATCTTAGATTGCGTGAAGCCATTCACCAGTCTAAATGATTCTAGATTTGAGTTTTGGGGACAAAACTCCTTTTTAGGAGGGGTGGATGTAATACCCCAAAATTTCTAGAGCATCAAGTGAGAGTTAGGGACCTAATTGTGAAGAAATACTATTAATGAACTTAATGGCTAATATGTTCAAAGTTCAAGGACTTAAAAGAAAGGAAATTAGGATAAGGATCAGCTGAAATTTTGATTTCTTTTCTTCCCAGCCATACACGTTTCTGCTCTGCTCTTCTTCTTCGTGCAGCCCGACAAGCCCCCCCCAAAGCCACCGACTTCCTTTTCCTTTGAAAACCGAAAAAGGGGCTTGAAATTCTCCTTCTTTCTTGTTCAATAACAAGATTTAGGACCTAGAACACTCTCCTAAACCCAGAAAATCTCAGATCTGCGCTGTTCTTCCCCTTGCTGTCCGTCGGCCTCTGCTATCCGTGATTTCTGGTCTTTTCCTGGTAAGATTCAAGCATGAATCTCTCTCTTTAACCTTGAATTTGGTTGGGTTTACCCTAATTTCCTCTTGTTCCTTCAATTTTGGTAGCTCCCGTGACATCCCTTCCCCTCTCCCGATCTCTGCCAAGCTCGCCAGATCCGGCTGCTATTGCTGGAAATATTCTGGTAAGTTAACAACCCTCCAAGCTTGAAATTTTATCAATTTGTTGCTGCCCTGTGTTGTCCGAAAACCCTCTGTTGTGCTGTCCGAATTTCTGCAGAAATATGGGAAAATTGTGGGTAGCATAAAATGGGTTTTGGGTTGCTAATTTGTGTAGTTGTCCCGGGAATCATCTTTGCTGTTTGAAGTTGTTTTTATGCCATTTTAGTTATCCTGGAGAAATTGTTCTGATTGATTGCTGGAAATAGGGGATGAGTTGGCAGCCCTTAAATGTGTTTAGTTGTTTAAATTATGTGGAAATTACTTGAATTGGCTGCTGTGATGTTTTGTGTGAAAATCCCGTGTGTGAGCTGTGGTTTGCCAAAGCCATGCTCTCCTGCCCGTGAGAAATGGGGAGTTTTGGTAGATTAAGCTTAGTTTAAGTGTAAATTAACTTGATTGGGGTTTTGTTTGGTTGTGAGAACGTGATGGGAAAATGAAAAGGAAATTGGTTATTAATTCTTGAATATTTTGATTAGGTTCTTGATCGTTCTGTCAGTTTAGTACGTGAATTGAGTGCTCAGTTTTGCGGAGTGAGGTAAGTAAATTTATGGTAATGCCCGCACTGTTTTTAAAAGATGTTTTGACTTGTTTTTGAAGTGGTGGCGGGACTAAACCCGTTTTATGCAAAAGTAAGTATGACTGATTTGAACTGAAAATTTTTATGATTTTTATGGATTTGAGCATGCCTACTTGAAGTTCATGTGATTGTCCTGATGATTTGAAAGTTAATTGTAAAGACTGATTTTCTGTTAAATTCAGCCTGTTTTGTCTCCGATCTGGTCATGTTATTCTGTTGCCCGCTAGTGGGAGGTCAAACGCTAGCACATGTCGACGTGTTCCTGATAGAACCGGTTCATTCCTGTAATCCTACTAGTGGGAGTTAAACACTAGTAATTCCTGTTGCCTGCCAGGGGGATTTAAACACTGGCCATGACCTATAGAGGAGACGTCTATTTCGTTCCCGTACTTGTATCCGTTTCCTGGTTACACTTGTTGGCATGCTATAAGTTTAATTGACTACTACTGAATTTTGTTCTGCATAATGGTTATCATTGAGCATTCCGTTATGTTTAAACTGTTTATTTGAAATGCTCAAATTTTACCCACGGGCTATCCATACATTTACTTACTGAGTTTATCTCATAGTTTTTCCTTGTCCACCATTTCAGGTAATATGACCCGAGACACGGAAACCACAGGAAGTGACGAGTTAGAAGGCTAGCCATTTCGAGACTGATATAGATTTTAGAAATAAATCATGTTTTTTGTAAGATAGATTTTACCTTGTGATTTTAAGTTTAAGTCATGTTGGACATAGATTTATGGAATAGAGTTTGGGATTTGAATAAGTTCCGAGCCTTGTGCGTTTGTGGGACCCGTCTCATGAGTGCACGGCGTCTGTCGCGCCTCGGATTTGGGTTCTGGGGCGTGACAGACTTCTATCAAATCAACTCTAGTTGCTTTTCGATCAATAAACTTGACTAAAATGTGTTTGCAAAAGATGGTTAGCAAACATCAAATCAGTATAAAGCATTATTTTGGTCATATTTATTGACCTAGATAAGAAGAAAGCCTACAACAAATAACCAGTTTCCATCAAATTGAGTCAGGTTATTATTTCTAGGTTTAAGTACCATTTTGGTCCTTCAATTTTTCACTTTGGCACCAAAATTATCCCTCAGCTTTAAAAAGTACCAAAATTATCCTCAGACTTTCATTTTCAGTACTAAAAAGGTCATTCTGTCAGTTAAATGACAGGTGGCACGTTAAAATGCTAGCAAATCAATTCTTTTTTTTTCTTAACTAATGACATGGAAAAAAAAAAAAACATAGTTGGCATTTATTTTTTTATGAGTTGGAATTTTCATTTAATTTAAAAATAATAAATTTTATTTTTCACCCACGTCAAATTTCTTCTTCCTTTTTCACTTTCTCTCTCCTTTACCTTTCCTTTTCTTTTACCTCTACAAACCCAGGCCTTGGGTTTTCTCAAATGACTGAGAAGCAAATGATGATCGTCATCGTCGACAATAGTGAGCACAACACCAACGCGCTCGATACCTCTGCAAACCCAGGCCAAACCTTTTGCTACTACTGCTGTCGGCCTTATTCCTCTCCTCTCAAACCCAAACCTGGGTTTTTCTCAAACCCAAATTAGCCCTGTGAAGGTAGTAGCGAAGAGGGGGGGGAATCCGTGAGCTACTTTGTGGGAAAGGCGGGGTTTGGTTGGTTCTTCAACTATTGGAGTTTGGCTTCATGTTTTTCAATGTCGAGCGCCCAGGCGCCAGGCTTGCCCTATGGAGATGAGGTTGTCCCCATTGTCAATTCGCTCTAAGCTTTCACCTTGGGTTCGATTCTATCTGCTCCGAGTTTGCGTTTGTTAGAAGCAAGAACGGCTTGAGAGAAAACCCAGAATGGCCCTTCTACAAACCTAGATTTCTTCTGTATTTATTTTTCCTCTCTAATTTATCTCTTACTCATTATTTTGAATTCTCAGCCATAATTCTGATTTGATTTCAATTCAACGTTTCTTGCAATTTCATAGCTTGATTTTTGCTTTTCTATCCCCATTGTTGCATATTAAGAGCTTTCATTGAAGTAGGTAGCAAGATTTGATTTTTCATTCTGATCATTAGAGTTTTCTCCTACCCACACTGATCTGGGTTTGCTCTAAATTAGTGCTTTTTTGGGGTTTGGTGTGTTTTCCTTTCTGTTGTTTATCTTGGAGTAGATAGTTTTATCGAGGTTTTGCTCCAAAAAAGTTCGATCCTTTGTGGATTTTAAAAGATATTTTGATGTCTTTAGGAAGTGGGTTGCGGTTTGTGGAAGCTTTCAAGGATATGTGTTTGTGAAGTTCGTGTTCTGCTGGTGTTAGGTATTTATTGGTGGGTGATTTTATGAGTTGCTTGCGAGCTTAATGTTTTTTGAATTGTTCGTCTGATGGAGAAATGAATTTCATCTAGTTGTTTAGAAAAACTGCTCCCAGATCTGGTTAGAGACTTAGCAAGGATCCTTGATAACGCATCGCGTGAAAAGCAAACTTCTACTGACGGTCGTCTTCTTCGCCGAACAATCCACGCCGAACGATTTTGGACATAAATTAACGAATAATTTCACATAAAGCTGAAGAAGGGAGTAGTTTTTCTAAAACCCAAATCTGGGTTTGAGAGAGGAAGAAGAAGGGAGAAGAAAGAGAGAGAGAGAAAGAGAAAATAAGAAGAAGAAAGAAAGATGAGCAGGGAAAGTAAGGAGGAAAGGAGGAAGAAGAAGAAGTTTGAGAGAGAACCTAGATCTAGGTTTGCAGAGGTAAGAGAAAAGGAGAGGTAAAGGAGAGAGAAAATGAAAGAGGAAGAAGAAATATGACGTGGGTAAAAAAAAAGAATTATTATTTTTAAATTAAATGAAAATACCAACTCATAAAAAAAATGCCAACTATGTCTTTTTTTTTCCATGTCATTAGTTAAGAAACAAAAAAAAGAATTGATTTGTTGGCGTTTTAACGTGTCACTTGTCATTTAATTGACGGAAAGACCATTTTGGTATCGAAAATGAAAGTTTGAGGATAATTTTAGTACTTTTTAAAGCTAAGGGATTTTGGTGCCAAAGTGAAAAGTTGAGGGACCAAAATGGTACTTAAACCTCATTTTTATCAAAATACTTGACCGAATGAAGGTCATAATGTTTTTAGTCAATATGCTTGACCAAATTAGTTTTTAATCGAATTAATCATTTACCATGGTTTTACATAGACAAAAATTATGTTCAATTAGTAAATTTGTCCAAAATATTAGTTTTTTCAATCAAGATTTTTGCTTGACCGAAATACTCCATTTGAAGTAGAGAGTTTTCTAGTAGTGTGTATAACTGGATATCTACTCATACATATATATATAAAGTAACACAAAGCATAAACATTTTTATCATCTGATATATATATATATATATAAAGATACACAAAGCATAAACATTTTATCATTTGATAAGTTGAGTGTCGAGAGTTTTTTCTCAATTAATATTGCTTGAGACAATAAAATCTCACAAACTAAAAGTATTTTTGGATAAAAGTTACTACAAGAAGTGAAAGGAAACGAAATGAGGGAAGTAAAAGGAAATGAGGGAAAGACTTGGTTTGTACTTAAACCCCTAACTTTGTCCTCAACTATCATATGAACTCTCAATTGGTTCCTAAACTTAAACAATCTTTATTTTAGTCCCTAAAGTTTGAAAAATTAAGCTCTTTTTTTCCCTTCCTTAAATTTACGAGATTGATGTGGCTCATTAATTGACAATAGAAGCATGTAGCATCCAAAAGTTTTTACCCGCAAAATTGACATCATGAATAAATGAATGACATGGCAAAAAGCATTGGTCATGTATCCCATGTCAACATTATAGCTAGGAATGTGGAAACCACTCAATAATCTTACATTTATCCTTGTTTGATTGAAACCAACACATGTGATGGGCTCACTTTAAAACATAATTAACTTTGATGATTAATTAAATAATCAAAAACACTATAATTAAATTAAATAAATTAAAAAAAAAGAATATTTGGGTTTCTGTTCTTCATGTTCGAAGAACCAAATGCATTTCCTACTCTTTCTCAAACTCATTCTTGGCCTCATGGCCATAGACATTGAAATCAAAATTTTCATCATTTCATATCAAAATCAATCATAAATTTTAAGAAATTGATTACAAATTACAAAAATACATCTCTACTATAAACCCTAACTTCAATCGAACCTAGATCTCGTACCTAGCCAAACAATTGCAAAGCATGGACGTGTAGCAAAACTCAAGGGCAGGCAAGCAAGGATGCATGCGTGACTCAACCTAATGCGATGTTTTAGTCACATGGTCGAGGTAGAAGAGACACTATTAAAATTCCAACTTTCAGCAACATGCTCCCATGTTGCTGAAAGTGCTTGCATTGTTGTTGAAAATGCTTGCAATGTAGGTAAAAGCCTTTTAGCAACATAGCTTTCGTTGCTAAAAGCTTTGTTGGAAAAGGCTTGGTGGCTGATACATTAGCAACAAAGGGTATGTTGCTGATGTATCAGTAACATACCCCTTGTTGCTAAAAGAACACTTTCAGCAACGTGATTTATGTTGGTAATATTCTTGCCGGATTCCAGTGACTAGTGGTGGAGTTTATTCAACCATTTTCAGCAACAAAAGCCACGTTGTTGAAAGTATATTTTTAGCAACGTAGCTCATGTTGCTGAAAGTTTAGGAGAAATGGTGGTTTTCAAAATGTGGTTTTCCTTTCCAATTTTCAGCAACAAGAGTCACATTGCTGAAAGTTCAAGAATAGTACATTCCCTAGTTTTCAACAACGTATGTCTTGTTGCTAATATTTATTTGCATACTTCCCTGATATTAATTAACTACTTAATAAATTTTAGTTTAATTAATGTAAATTAAATAACATCAATTAATTAATGTCTTATTATGTATTTTACCAAACTT